GAACCCCTATTACAAGTGATATTTATCCTTCGGGATAAGTGTTTTACTTGTAGTATCGTATTCACTCGTCTAAATTATTTAAAATGTGAGACCCGTTTGGTCTCACCTATTTTAAATTAAAATGTTGCTTTAAAAAAAAGGGTTATATTTATATTTCAATTATTTTTAAAATCACAAAAATTATTACCTTTTTCAAATCATAAAGTTATTTCAAGTTATAAAGTTAAATTAAATAAAAGATCTTTTTAAAAAAAGATGTAAGATAAAATAAAACGGCCGACATACATGGAATGTAATTTTAGTAGTAATAGCTCTAGTGACAGAAGTGTGACTTTGGGTGATCAAATTATTAAAAGGTGTGAACGATTTAGATATCTTGGGTCCGTTGTCCAAAGCGATGGTGATATAGATGGGGATGTTAATAGTAGAATTCAAGTTGGTTGGTTGAAGTGGAGGAATGCTTCGGGCCTTTTGTGTGATAGAAAAGTACCGCTAAGACTGAAAGGAAAATTTTATAAGATGGTGGTGAGACCTGCAATGCTCTATGGCGCTGAAAGTTGGCCTTTAAAAGAGAAGCATAATAATAAGTTAAGTGTTGCCGAGATGAGAATGATTAGGTGGATGAGTGGCTTTACACTTAGAGACAAAATGCGGAATGAATATATTCGTGATAGGGTTGGTGTAGCTCCTGTGACAGACAAAATTAGAGAAAGTCGTCTTAGATGGTTTGGTCATATTAAACGTCGACCATTAGATGATCCGATTAGGAGAGTAGATGTTTTAAATTTGACTTGTGTTAAGAAAGACAGAGGTAGACCTAGGAAGACTTGGGCTTATTGTATTAAAAATAATCTTAATTTACTAGAACTAAATGAAAATATGACACTAAATAGGACGCAATGGAGAAAAAGGATTCATGTAGCCGACCCCACGTAGTGGGATTAAAGCTTTGTTGTTGTTGTTGTTGTTGTTGAAACAGACAGAACTAGTTTTCGACAAACTTTTGCAGTGTCGTGCATTTAAAACAAATAGATTCAGAAAGAAACCTACTTCATTTGACTAAAGCGACACTACAACACATGTTATGCATTGAAGGAAAGAAAACCTTCATGCTTTATTGCACACTGCAGTGTAAAAACATTGGTCCATATCACTTCAATGCTATAAATGTTAAGTCTACACTTTCATGTATTTCAGTGTCTCTAAATCCCCATCTAGTACCAGAAAAGATAAAAAGCATCTCAAAAATTGAATTAACAAAAGTGGGTAATATAACACTCACGATGATGCATGATAATTGGTTCAGAATGAAAGACACTTCCAACACCATGACCAACAAATTTCTCGACTACACCATAGCCGTGCTTTTCAGCAATCTCACTAGAATCATTCAAAAAAATTAGTAATATATTCAAAATCTAAACAAACTTTCATGAAAAGAATCAAGCTAAAAGTATTACCTCATGTTGTAATTCGCCAGTTTACAAAAACAAGCAAACGTCGATTTTCAAAATAAAAATTTTTCATACACAAGCAGTTCTTTCTTAATGTTGTCGGAAGAAAATCTTATAACTAGCTCTGAACAGCACTAAAAAAACTTATACCTAGTCTAGAAACAACGCCAACCATTTAGTGCAGCATTGGTCTAAACACAAATTTGGAGTTAATTTTCTAATTTAGAATGTCAAGTGATACTATATGTAGGGCTTCATTCATCATAACCAGCTCGAGCTGGCTACCATAGACAAGTAGGTAATTTTTCTGGCCATCTTTGAGTGATTTGGTCTCTACTGGCTAAACTATTAACTTCAAATGAATTTTATCATCTTTTAATGCCATTTTCGTTTGTTAACAGAGGTAGAGGTAAACCTAAAAAAGGCTTAGGCATGTTGTATAAAAAATGATCTTAATTTATTGGGATTACATGAAAATATGACTCTAGGACACAATGAAGAAAAAAGATTCATGCAGCGGAACCCTCTTAGTAGGATAAAGGTTTGTTGTCTTTGTTCTATAATGTCATTTTAGTTGGGAAATGCATGGTATTGCACCCTTCTCTTACAGCCTCAAACTTTGAATAGGTTAAAATTGACCTAAGCATGTGGCTGTGAATGATAGAGATCAGGTCGTATAAATGCTTGATCAGATCTCAATCCAACCTCGAGTCAATCCAATCTTTTATTTTCATGACCCAGCTCAGGAATTTAAAATTACCAAAATGAAAATAGAGGTCAGACGACAGAGTCATACTAGTCTAATATATACAACAATCCATAACAATCATTAAAATAGTAAAGAACCACTAAATCATAATTTTTTCAATACATCTTTCAAAACAAATACTAAAAATATCCAATTGCAATAACAAATTTAATAAATAAATTTAACGGAAGAATAAATATATTCCTGACAACTATTTTCATTAGCTTATCTTTTTCTGTGAGCATACTTTTTCATATCAACTATTTAATCTAAATAAACTTTTTCTAAAATAAATATTAAAAAAAAAAATTAAATTTTACAGCAACTTCATGAATAATTACAATTCTGCTGTATACTAAATTTAAAAGCATATGTTCTAACATCATGCTATTTATAAAATTATAAAATATTAAAATTTCATCTAATTTAAAAGTTTCAAACATTGGCATTGTTTTAATTAGAAACAGTTTAATAATTTTAATTACATTTCATATAAGAAGTCATCCCAGGAACATCATCTAACAGATTACATCAATGAAGGAACATCAATTTTTATTTTTTCCATTTCCTTTTCTCTGTGTTTTCCATTTATCATACATTTTTAGTTCATTCTTAATGTAATATGTCTATAATATGGAGCTAACCAGAATAAAATGTGTTCTCTAATTTTTTTTATTTCTTGGTACTCCTGTGATTGACTTGGTCATTTATTTTATTTAAATTTTATTAATTTCTTTCAATCAATAAAACATTTGTTAAACTTTCTGTGTGAATGCAATGAAACACATTTAATAGATTAAATTTTCATTTAATTTGTCTATACTAGCATGATCTAATTTTTAAAAACTTGAATTATATTTTAAAAGTAAAAAAAAAAAAAAAAACTGAATTTAGTACACATAGAAAAGCAATTACTCACATTAACTTTCAAATAATGGTATTATCAAGTGACTTTTAATCACCAACTTTTCTAATTTAGCACCTATAATCATAAGTCATATCTTTAAATTTACTATTTAATATTTTACTAATTTTAAATAATTGTTTTATTAAGTCTCTCCTAACATTTTTCTTGCAATCTTTATTTTAACTTTTATAATTATATAAACTTACAAAATAAATATTATAGCCAAACATAAATTGATATTAATAACAATAATTTAAACTTTTAAATTTACAATTTCAAATTTCAATACTATTTTTGTAAAATGTTATACTATTCTCACCTCCCTACTTTACTCATCCAATTACAAGATTAATAACTATTCTTTGAAATATAATTAAGCACAGAGTTTAGTAAAATACTTCAAGTAGACCTCCTTTGCTCAATCGTCCGTTGGCTCTCCAAATATATTATTCCCTTCCAATAAAAAACCTAAAATATTCTTAAAATTAAAACTACTTCAAGGTTTAAATATTTAGATTAGCATAAAGAAAACATATAATTAGAAATCATCTCAATTCCTCTTTATTTTCTAATGATCCAGATCACTTCTAATTTTTATATTTTTCAATCTTTGATTTTTGATATTAATGTAATTAAGACTGATATTAATTCTTTAGTAAACATTAAATCTAAACTCGAACCTAATTTACCTTATATCATTTCAATATGTCCTATTTCTTCACTGTTTGGTGTGCTCAATGCATACTGAGCTAGTATACCTGCTTCGTTTTGTTTGTCTAGTGTCATTTGATTCGATGTCACCTCCCTCTTCTACATGTGACTACACTGCACGTAACATCAATCTTACGCGCATGAGTCTTCTCTCTCAAGTGACAGTATACAACCCTCTGCTTGTCTGCTCTGGCTCGTTATTGCATCTGCTCGTACCATTTTGTCTTCCACAATCGACATTCAACCTGTGTACATTTCACATCACTCGATCAACAACCCTTCTTGCCAATCTTTCATCTCCGCACGTTGTCACTCACATTCCTCGTCATTAGAATGCAAACATCAGCAAGTGACGTCATCTCCTCTCAAGCTTGATTCACTCATCACTCCCCATCTCTGCCTTGCATGAGATTAGTCTCGTTGTCTTGCTCAAACAATTTGTTCAAAATTAAAAGGCACTTTTGTCTCTTAATAAGGTGGAGAACTGACACATCTAATTTAAATCATTATTTTTTTAGTTATTACAATCTCCCATCTTTATAGAAATTTTATTCTCGAAGTTTAAAAAACTAAAAGTAAACATACCCTAACTGAAGAGATGTGGATATCTATTTTACATTATTGAGGCTTTTCCTCAATTGGCCTATTTCTGACCCATGCCTTCATAGAATTTTTACAAATAGGATTTCTATATTATGGAGTCACTTAACATCATATTTTATTATCATCTCAGGTTCTTTTATATAGGTCACATCTAACAACATATCAACTAAATATGCAATAACTCTACTTGATTCATCAACATTATATTTCTGAAATATAGAGATATTAAACACATCATATACTCCTTGCATGTATGTTGATAAAGCCAATCCATAAACCACATTTTTAATATTCTCAAACAATTTGTTCAAAATTAAAAGGCACTTTTGTCTCTTAATAAGGTGGAGAACTGACACATCTAATTTAAATCATTATTTTTTTAGTTATTACAATCTCCCATCTTTATAGAAATTTTATTCTCGAAGTTTAAAAAACTAAAAGTAAACATACCCTAACTGAAGAGATGTGGATATCTATTTTACATTATTGAGGCTTTTCCTCAATTGGCCTATTTCTGACCCATGCCTTCATAGAATTTTTACAAATAGGATTTCTATATTATGGAGTCACTTAACATCATATTTTATTATCATCTCAGGTTCTTTTATATAGGTCACATCTAACAACATATCAACTAAATATGCAATAACTCTACTTGATTCATCAACATTATATTTCTGAAATATAGAGATATTAAACACATCATATACTCCTTGCATGTATGTTGATAAAGCCAATCCATAAACCACATTTTTAATATTCTCAACAATTTTAAATGGCAACACATATAGTCGAGTATATTTCCTTGTCTTTCCAAAGAGTTGCCCACTCATTGGATTGACCTTGATAAATGCAAACTTCCCGACCTCAAATTCCATAGATATATACCTAAGCATCTATCTATGAATAGTTTGATCTTTTCAGTAACATCATCTATTAAATCTGCTCCATATGGAGTTATTCCAGGTTATCAGATAACTAAAGTTATATGCAAATTTTATTAATGATACGAGTGATTTGTGAATCTCATTCTCCACCAAAGCCAAGAATCCATAAGCGGAGTAAATCCTTTAGAATTTGAGTAGTTCTTTTTTATTGCTCATCTATTTGTGGGTGAAATATAATACTAGAAGTAAACCTTGTGCCCAAAGCATCCTAAATTTTTTCTATAACTTGAATGTAAATCTGTAATCTCTATCTAAAACTACGAATTTTGATACAGTGGGTAATCATATAGTTTCATTCACATATAATTTTGCTAATTTTTTAAAATGAGCTATCTGTCAATTTTTTTAGAAACGGGCAGATTTAATTAATCTATTTATAATGACTCAAATAATATCATGTCATTATTTTAAGCTAGACAAAGCAATCACAAAATGCATTGTTATTTCCTCCTATTTCCATATGACTTAAGAGAAATGTGTCTTGTTCATCTTGATCAAACATTTTGTTTCAAATGGGAAGGCCCCACCATCCCCTAATAGTGTAGAAAATTGAAATGTCTGGTTTGAATCACTAATCTTTTTTTTTTATTATTATTACATTTGTACAATTTAGTCTTCAAGTTTTATTCTTAGGCCTACATAATGTTTTCAAAATGCTAAACACAATGCATGTATAAAGGTTTTTTCTTTGCTTTAAACAAATAAAACAAAAAGCAAAGGAGCACTTATATGAAGTAGACTATTCATGACATATATCATATAAACATATATGATATGCGAAATATAGTCATTAAATTGATCAAATTTAAACCACAAAGGAGAATAATCTTTAACAAATATTATGATATGTTAAATAATTGTATTTCAAGCAATCCAAAAGCTAGAAAAAGACTAAGGAAAAAAATAACTAAGTGATGAAATAATACTTAAAACATCAAGAATGCTCGAGAGATTGAAAGACTAGCTAAAGAGCAAAGTTCGAGGTAGTGGATCACAAGAGTGTATGAAAT